TTGTTTTCAACCACTCAATTTAATGTTTTGTTCACTAGAGATATTGTTTCTATATCGACAGATATGACGTATTGATTCCCAAGCTGAAACCCAATCTAGTTCTGATATTTTAATAGAAACTAGCTAGCTAGAGATGGAATGGCGTGATGTGTGGATATATATATAGAGAGAGAGATAGATAGATAGAAATTAATGCTAGGCGGTGGAATAAACTTGTTTTACTCATCGACATTAATTATAGTGTTAACGCTGGGGGATAGAAATAGAGTGGGGCAACCGACACGAAAGGTGAAGTATGACAAAAAGGGACAAAAACCATCCAATATAGTGTCAAACTCAAATCTCTCTAAAATCTCTGAACACAAAAGAGGAGGAGGGCCAAGGGTTTTATCACATTGATGATGCAACATCTGGAAAAGAGTACATGGCCTTTTCTTGCTGCCTCGGAGCCTTGGTTATCTCACATTCGAGATGCCTTTTGTGGTCCTTGCTTCTTAGTTCCGACAACATGAACATCCCATATGGCTCTCTTTGGGAAAGACCATCAACTATCAAGCCTTTAATGACTTCAAAAAGAGCCACCCATGCATGCATGTTCATATATCAACATATCCGCAGAGTTATTAAGAGCTGCATCCTGTTCTTACATATGAAAAAGAGAAGAAGAAGAAGAAGAAGAATGTTGATCGATCATAAGGACTGTGCTATATGTAAGAATCTATGGGTGGGTGGTTGCCTGGTTGGTGTTGGGTCCTGGGCTAAGGTCATTAATTTGCATGGTTTTGCTTATATATATGTATATATACATATATATATATATATATATATAGACTGCTCTTGTGTTGTGTTCTGCTAAAATATCTTGGATAGAGCATGTGCTCAAGGAGGGAAGAGGACTGCAAAAACCCTTTTATTTTCCATCTCAGGCATCAACATCTGATCCATATCATCCACTCATCGTAACGAACACTCATGTAGTCATGTTGCCCCAACCAGCAGCTGCGGGTATGGCCATGGATCCCAAGTCCCAACAATGAAATGTGCTTGGCCAAACGACAGGAGTTCCCAGAGGCAGTGTCGCGTTCGGGACACCTAATGGGGAAGAGGGACGATGGGGAACGATGAGAAAGCGACCTTTCCCCCTCGTTCAGGAAAGATCCAACGCGGCAGCTGGAGACTAGTGCGTGATGCCAATGCTGAACCCGGCCAGGCCAGACACCAGACACCAGACACCAAACACCAAACAACACCATCCATCCTAAGAGAATTAGGGTTTCCAAAGATGGTGACCCTTTCGGTGGGTGAGAACAAGGACATTTTTTGGGAGTTGTATCTCAATGTGGTTCAATTCAATTCCATTGAATTCAATTCAACTCCACATGGTCCCCCCTCTCCCCACTCCTTGCACACTGTGACTTTAATGGTAAAGAGGGTTTGCATGAATGAAGGGTTGCTGTTGTTAGGGTTGGGAGATGTTGATGTTGAGTGGGGCCCATTTCGGTTTATTTGGTATACATACTTCCATTTAATTAACCAAAATGAGCAAATAGGTTATGGGTTCCCCCCTGCTGGCCAACTCCTCTAATCTCTACTATATATCATCACAAACCCAAAGGTATATAGTGTTAGATGAGAGGGGACAGCGACTAGTCTATGAATGGCAAAGAAGGTAGAATTATGAGGATGTGTACAGTTAAGGCCGGGAATAATTGCAAAACGGGTCAAGCATGCACGAATAAAGCAGTCTGTGTTGCAGAGAGACTCCAATGTATCATTAAATTACTATTTCAGCTAAATCTCATGCAAATCTACAGATACCCACAACCAAAAGAGTAACACCGCATCAAATTACCCCCCTCCCCCCCTCTCCCAATCCCCCAAAACAACACAGAACAGAACATAAAAGAAAAGAAAAGCTCTCAAATAAAGACCTAAAGTGAGCAACAGTCTCTCTCTCTCAGATAGCCACAATAATCACTGACCCTTATAAGAGCTTGTAAGCATGCAAACGGTTAAAAAAAAGAGGTAGCTAGCAGAGTGATAGTCCTTGGAAAACAGGAAAAGAAGAAGGGGGAAAATGAACTTGATGACGGAGAAGTCCTCCTCCCTTATGAATATGACGATTACGTCCTTTTCTTGCCAATAAATTGATTGATCTCTGAGCCCTCGTATATATATATATATGGTATGTGTATTCTCTACAATTACACCAGTTTTGCTACTGTTAAAACTTAGAAACTCATACCCTTACAAATATACATGTGTGCGGTCCAAAATCCTGTAAACCAGAACTAGCTACTACGTATCCTTTCATAGTATACATCTTTTCAGATGGTGCCTCTAGGCCCACTTTGCTTGCTCATGATGCACATATATGGTTTGTTTTATGGTTTAGGCCAAGAGTGAGCAAAGCTTGTCCGGCCCCGTCCTTGCCCCACATAATAAGAGTCGTACTTCTGGTATAGAAACTAGAGACCTACTACTGCTTTAATCAAAGATAAAGACAAGACAAGAAACCTACTGTACTTCATTATGCACGTTTTGGAATAGAATATAGCATTAAGAGTAATAAGCTCTTCCTTGTATAAATTGGCAAGGGCTGCAGAGGCGGGGTCATATGAAATGATAGAGCTCCACACTTTATATATGTTTGTCCAAATTCGAGTGTGAATTGAACCCAATTAGAGGAAATTCGATTTAGATCAGTTGATAATTGGACCGTATATGGATTCATTCCACGTCAATCTGATTCAATGTAATCCAATCCATATAGTTTTATCATCATCATCATCATCATCGATCACTGTTACTATATGAGATCGGTTACATGAATTCTGTTCATCTTTCCATTTTGTTTAGTATCATATTCATTGTTAAATTAAGAGGCGCTTATATCTTCATAAAATAAAATCTGAGTTACATAATATTTTGATTATTTTCAGCTTAATTTGTGAAGAGTATTCAATTATTCGAATCCAATGGATAAGTTTCTATTGATTTGATATGATTGAATCTATTTAAATCGCTAATGAGTGAAAGTAAGATAAAGAAGAGGGACATACATGTCAAAATGCTGGAAGGAACAAAAATGTAAGGATGAAAGACGGAAGAGTCTACGTACTTCGTTACCCAACGTTGGGCTTGGAGATGATTATTTCTATCTTCTCCATTCGTGTAATCTGGTTAACATTTTCAGGACCACTTTGCAGAATCCCTGCAACAGATATAAAACAGACAACAGCTATAAAGAACCAGCACCAACTACTAGTACCTGAAAAGAGAGAGAGAGAGAGACCCACCAACGAAGTTCGTCATTTCTCTCTCACCCTTACAACTTAGGGGATTTTTCTGTTCAGTCCACCCTAATAAATCTTAGTTTCACGGTACAGTTGGGATAGGTGCCAATTTGGAATTGATGCCAATGTAGAGCAGATATTGGTGTTATAGGTGGAGGTATTTGAAATTTTAAATTATCCTAGGTCTGCAATGAAAATCAGAATTCTGAAGTAGAGTGCAGTGTAGTTATCCCTAGGACTTACAACCTTGGTGTTGACTGATGGGTACACGTACATGCAACAAGAGAAGGGGGGTTGCACTTCCACCTTCCTTATCCTGCGCACCCATGAGAAAAAAAGAAATAACAAATGGAATTTTACATAGAGCCATTCTATTTTGATGAATTTGTAAGCAACCCCTTATAGCATAAGAAAAATATCGATCCCCCATATTGTGCTACATAGCTTAAATACCACAAGTCTACAATAACAATATAATTAATTTTATATTATTTATCAGGATTAAACTGGTAGGGGTTCATTGTGAAGCTGACTTCTGCGATCAAAAGAAATCAACTAGAAGCTCGAAACATTTTTAATTTGGATGATCACAAAACAGATAAAACTCTTCAAGAAAAGACCCAATTAAGATTTATTTGATGACATTCAATCAGATGGGGCCTTTGTTTATTAGATCTTCTTATGGGATCATAATCTTTAATTTGATCGATCTATGACAAATTCCACCTCACAACACTTCCCATCCTTGAAATATTTCATTTGCGATACATTTATCCTAGACAGACTACACTAGCTTCCTAGCATTGATTTCAAATCCTCACCACTTTGACAAAGAAACCCTCCACTAGGTTTTAGTTAAGCATCGTCAAACCCTTGGCTGCAGACTTGCATTGCAATGGGGCCTAAACAACAAGGGATGTGATTATTAATTAAAAATTCTAAGAATACCTTAATTACACATGGATAATCTCTAACCAGAGATTTAAGAGATAAGTTTTCTCACAAGTTTGGAGGTAATCCAATGTAAGCATGGAACTAAAACATACCCTGGGCTTATCAACTGCCTAATCCTAATTCACTTATGACAGCACTAATTCCGGAAATAAAAGGAAAATGAGAGCTCCATGATGGATGAGCTCAGTTGAATTTGTTGCTTGAAATCAATTCTGCAACAATTAAAGTTGACGATGCTAATATGCTACCCCAGCTGCTAGAAAAGCTCCATAATCCTTTTAAGAAGCTTTTTGCATGGGTAAGCATCCCTTCCTGAGCAGGTTGCCCGTCAGTTTCTCTATATCTATATTTCAATGGAATTCGAACGCCTAGACTTCTATGGATGGCACTCTGAAACCTGCTTCGCTCCTTTATGGAATTGGGCACAAACAGCAGAAATAAGAAACTTGCGGAATTGGGGCTTGATGGTCCCAAGGCATATTTCCAAATAAATGAATTAGGTAGGGTTTACTAACAAATATATGGAAAAGGTGAGGGGTTAGCTGTATATGACTCATGAGAGAGAGAGAGCACAGTCACCCCTTCACCCTCACAACCACACCAGCACTGGTGGACTTGTCAGGCCTTACTCTCAGATGGGGTCAGCACGAATTGTCCACGGATCAGACTCCCCGTTGTAGGCCCCACCAGACAGTCTTACCACCCCAAAAAGAGAGTAGCCTCTCCTCTCCTCTCCTTGCTCTTCTTCTCCCTTCCTTTTCTTCCCTCCTCCCCACCCCACCCACTCAGTCCATTCTCTTCCCCCTTCCCTCTCCCTGTCTCCCAAGGTGGCTCCAACTGCACCTTCGTCTCTCCTCCTCTCACTTCCCTCTAACCTACTACTCTCCTCTCTCTCCATAATCCTTTCCATGGAAAAGGTTGAAAGAGAAACTCACGACTTCATGAACGTAGATTCCTTCTCTCAGTTACCGTTCATTCGGCCTGCACCCGTTAAAGAGAAGGGCATTCGACTCTTTGGTATTGAATTTGGCGGAGAAGTTGCCGTCACAGACGAGTCCGAGTCTGTGGAAACTAACCTGAGCGAGGACGCCAAGGAGAACGACAACGGCGAGAGCGGTCGCAAATTCGAGTGCCATTATTGCTGCCGAAACTTCCCTACATCTCAGGCTTTGGGAGGCCATCAGAACGCTCACAAGCGCGAGCGTCAGCATGCTAAACGTGCACACCTCCAGTCGGCCATGGCGCACGGTGGTATCCCTGAGGGCCACGTCTACGGGCTGGTTAATTACCGGCTTGGTTCCGCTGCAACGCCAGCGCTCAGCTACCCTTCTTGGACCAACGGCAACATGATTCCTACTAACAGCCGCTTTTATGGAAGCCACCATACTTCCTTCTCTCAGCCTCCGATCAACGGCAGCCCCTTGGCTTTGTGGAGAATTCCACCCGTCCAAAGCTCCCCTAATTTCAATCAGGACCGTTCATTGCTTCCGCTTTTTGCAGGTGAAGATGACTCGAGACCGGCGCCGTTCAGCGGCTCTAGTACTCAAGGACGACACATGTACGAGGCTAAGAAACCAAACGTACAAGATCATGTGAGTTTGGATCTGCATCTGTAATCCTTCCTTTAATTCTTATGAGGAAAAAAAAATGAGATTTTCTGATTAAATACATCCTTTATTTTGCCCTACCTACGCCTGTGATGCGTATGAGGCAATCTTAAGCATACCCATTATTGTTTCTTGTGCAAACTATCCTTATTTTGGTACGAATTAACGTATAAATGGAGTATTTTCGTTAAATTCCATTAAGTTGGTTGAAAAAGATAAAACTTTAATTATAAGCAGGAACCATGTAAGTGCAATCTCCCTCTCTCTCTATCTCTCTCTGCAGAACTGTTCAGAAGTGCCATGTATATATGAAAATTCTGTGACGTGGGTAGTGTTGCTTGGCATGTACATTGTATTGAACTTATCGTAGAGGGCAGCGAGTAAGATCGGTGGATCGACCGGATTATGGGAGTGGTGTTTCTGAATCAGTGCAACAGAAAGGAGAAAGAACAGATGATGGTAAACAAATCAAGAATGGCATCTATTGCTCATAAAATAAAATTTGATGCTCTGCCGAAAGCAGAAAGAAACTAAATTTCTCGATGACAGTTGCAGGTAGCTGGTAGCATTGTTTGCACCTCTTTAAATATATACTCCTTTTTCTCTTTATGTGGGTTTTAAGCTTGCTTCAGAAATGTCAGAGAGAAAGAGAAGGTAGGAGCGGGGATTACTGATTAGAAAGAAAAATCTAAATTACTACTCCATATGAACCAATGAAACTTCAAATTACTGCCAAAAATGAGGTGGGGATTCCTGTTGCAGTTCTGGGTCTGAGGAGGTAAATTAAGCTTCCATAATGGTAAAACAGTCACGTAAATGTGATAAACTGGTTGGCCGAAACGGGTCGAGTTGGATAGTGAACCCAAAAGTAGGTTGTTCGAACCAAGTAGCTAGAGAAATGTCCTCCAGTCCACCTTGGAGTTGTGGGAATTCTGAATTGAATATCCATGGCTATCGTCAATCCTGTTAACTAAATTAGCTTGGCAACCATAGCTAATGTCTGATAGCTAAAGCCAATGCGGGTCGGAGTCAAGACTAGAGTTTGCAGAAACCCCCATTGCAGGCAGTTTTGAGGCCACGATTAAGCAATAACTAGAGTTGAATGAGATAAAAAGGAAATTACGGAACTCATAACTGTTCGATCTACAACCTGACATACACAAGTTAGTAAGGTGATGATCGAAACACTCAATAGGTTTCTGGTTGTGGGACCGTTATTTGACAACTGACTTGAGTGAAAAACAGATGGCTGTGATGTGGACTCGTCGTCCAAACATATTGGGTGGTGTATTCAGAATGGGATCATTCACCTTTAAAGAAGCATCATGATTGGTGAGAGTAGTGTTGGTAGGGACTAGTAAGAGCATTGGCGAGTTCTCACTGTCTTTGTTTTTTTTTTTTTTTTTCTCTTTTTAAAACCCCATCTCTCACTAACAGAGAGGCAGTGGTACCGGTGCTTTCATGGCTTGAAAATAACAAAACTGGCCACGAAAATGATGTGTCCCAGGCACTATGTGGCTTACTTTGAAGCAACACATGAACATGGACATTAAGACTCTTAAGACTTTTTTTTTTTTTTTTAATGTACATTTCATCCTTTTTATCATTGCCTCCTGCCTCCTGTACATTTACATACATTTCTTATGCACGTGTGCATGAGTGCTTGCTCAAACGTGTGATTAATTAGCCATCAAGATATATACTCATAAACATGTCTCCCTCTCTCCCTCTCCCTCTGCTCCAGTCCAGCAAATTCAATAAAACCCGGATATTAATGGAGATTTGGGATCTAGTAAAAGTACTGCTCTGTGTTTCTTTCTTGGATCCTTCAGGAATGCATACAGACCTTCAATTTAATTATTTAGTACATACACATACACATAGAGCAGTAGTAGTGGTAGTAGCAACAGTGGCAGTAGCAGCAGCAGCAGATGCAGATGCAGTAAGATTCAAGATGTGGAGGAGGTTTTAGCTTTCACTGGGGTAGAGTTGCTCAAGTTGGGGATGGAGTACTTGTTGCATTTTCCAATAAGGTCCAAATTAGCCAGTCTCTTAATTAGAATGGAATACTTTGTTTAGGGCTTAACATAAGAGCTCAGCCCAAACAACAAATTAAAGCTTTTGTTTCTAACTGAAACTTAGCTATGCAAGTGGAAGGCGCACCATTTACTACCAACCAACATTCAACAGTGGGTGACTCATGAAACGTGGAATCTCCGGTAATTATCGTTCTGATGTCACTAGAGTCACTGTACTGGTCTTGGCTTACATAAAGTGAAATTTTAAACCCCTTCAACTCTCAGCTGATGTTTCAGTAAAACAAGGTTGCTTTATCTCAACTACTCCACTACTACATATGCAATAAAAGGGATGCCAAGGATAAAAAAGGAGAGTTTAGATCAAATCTCCATGGAACCATCATAGGACCAGAAAACTACTATTACAGATCCAGACCCAGCTTCAATTTAAGTTGGTTTCCAATTGGGTCGCTTCCAGGCTTCCAGGCTGAGTTGGGTCGTCGACCTCTTAATTAATTAATTACCAGAGCACACCCCCTTTTGTTTTAATTGTTCAACACATGTTTTGAGAACCAGCTACTATAGTGGCTAACCCGGCTGTACACTCATGACTCATCATCGGGTCGGTTCAAACTTCAAAGGTGAAGAAAATTAACTTCGAGTTTTGGGTATTCAAATTCCAAACCGATCCATTGCAAAGTGTCCACTACTGCCAACAAGGTCGTAAAAGGGAAAATCCAGAGCCACAGGGGAGTAAACTTGCTCTTAATAAGAAAAGATGCGAATGCATGGGACCCATTTAAAAGTAGATGAATTCATCAACTCAAAAGCTTCCTTCTCAGTGATATATAACTCATTTGACCCAATGTAGTGGTTAACATAATAAATACATATATATATATATATATATATATATCACCATTGCGTCCTTTTAGTCTTTACTAGGAAACGTCATAATCATGGAGCTTGGAAATGCATTACCCAACTTACAAGCAAGAATAATAGGATGTGTCCATCTCCATCGCCATATGTTTTCTGTCTAAAATTTATATTGCACGGTATTGAAAAGTAATTCATACGTTCGTAGTTTTGTTGTTTGACAAACGATATTGTTGAAATGGATCCTTCAATTACTACTACACAAAAATGACAAAAATCATGAAAAAATAGACAACAAATACAAACAGAACCCCCTGTTTGGAAACAGTAATTAAGAGCCCTCCTGTGACTGTGGTGATAGAATTTAACAGTTCTTTTAATGATCAAAAGTTCATGTAGAGTCTCAACAACGACAAATCTCATACTAATACCAATTAGGTGAAATCCTGTAGTCAACCAAATTCTGAAGTTCACTCCACACAGACATAGACTGACTGATATTGATTATTGTACTTGGAGTGGTGTCTCTTAACTCCTCATGGCCAAGGACCTGGCCAGACTGACTTCTTATTCTGGATTTGAGTTCATTATGGTTTAACCTTACAAATCTGTTGTTATTAATGTGATTTAGGTCGACCCATCTGATGGTGAGTCCTGATCCTTAACTAGCCACATGGCAGCTTTAGATGGCCTGCATCTAAATGCTGTTATGATGAGGGGGCCCTCATTGTATGCTTGTAGAATTCCTCTTGTCATGAATGTATTCTCTACTGGCGTCCATAGGTATCTGGATATATAACCCAATATCCAAGGGGCTAGGTTTCCATGTTTTGAACCTGATCACTAAATCAATAATTGGGTCAGGCTCTGCTGAATACATATGGAGCCACTTACAATGTGGGTCCCAATTGGCTTCTTTAATTGGTAGTTTGGTACAGTTGGGCCTGTTGATATTGTGATTGATTATTGCTCCATTCCATGATCTCATTTGTTCTATTCCCAATAGTCCATTGGAATTTAAATGTATTAAACGATAGATAAGCTTTGAAGTAGCATCAATTAATGTAGGACTCTGGATTTGGCTTTGACCCGAATGGAATTGGAAATCCTTGGTCTGGGTCATATAAGAATTTGATGAGCTTATCGATATTGTGGACTTATAAGCCTTGGAACTTTACTAAATTATGCCAAAGAAAATTTGATAAACATAAGTAGACCATTGGAAAGCAATTGGTGGTGTAGACTTTGGAGTGTGAATACTTCAGAGAGTAAACTGATCACATTAACAAATTGATTTAATAAATAGAAAATTAAGCTGCAAGGAGATAGACATGGTGAAATATCAAGCAGGGAGCCACCAACTGGTCGGTGCAGTTAGGAGAAGAAACATATCGTGTACTGGTGAAGCAAAGAACAAACATAAAAAGCATGCACGAGAGAAGTGGAAGAAGAAGAAGAAAGGAAGAAAAAGAAGAAAAGAAAGAAAGAAAGAACGACAGGAGGCATGAAAGAGCACAATACATTATCATCTGGTCTGGACCACTTGGGAAAATTGACAAAAGAGGCCACTGTTTAATGGGCCTGTCGAGAATTTAAGAAATGCCGGCTCACACCCCTATAGACTTTGCAAAACGAGGTAAGAGTAAGACATTTCTACAGTTTTCTGAATGGGATACTTATAAGTTCTAACTTGCGCCTCCTGTACATTGTGACACCAATCCACTTGCATGTCTTGGTGATGGTAGTCGTTGGCAGTCAATGCCACTATGCAGAAACGATAAAGCTACTGGTCGGAGCCGTGGGTTCTGTTTGGTTGCTTGCAGTTTAACATTATTCAAATAGGCCAAACATGTGATGCTACAAGAGAGGAGATGATGGTCTCTATAATAACTGTTGTTTATATTTTCTTCCTTCTCTCTCTCTCTCTCTCTCTCTTTTTATAAACACAATCTCTCTAACTGTCTATTTCAATCTCTTTTCTCATTTTCTTTATTAATTTGCTCATTAGTCTTATCCATGGTTTTCAAAACCGGATCGAAAAAACGGGAACCGGTCAGGTGATCAGTTTTGGTTTTCCCCAAAATCGGAAATTTGCCCAAAACTATTGATTTTGGTTAGTAAACCATTGACCCAGGCGGTTAACCATTCGAACGGTTTTGATCGTTTTTTATTTTATTTTTGTCAGAATAGACCGACCGTTCGACCCAATAACCGGTCCCCTAATCAGTTCGGTCTCCGAATCATTTTTAAAAACCATGGTCTTATTCACCAAATTCCAGTTCTACCTAAGATAGA